TAGAAACAAATCAAAGCGGAGTGAATATTGAGTTTCAAGAGTAAGTGCTGACTTTTGAGTTTCATGAGACAAAATGATATCGAAATCAAGTTTTAAGGAGCAAAGTGGTGTGTTTTGAGTTCCAAGGAACCAAGTGGATCAAAATCTAGTTCTATTGAGCAAAGCGGTGACTTTTGGGTTTCAGGGGACGAAATGGGATCGAAATCGAGTTTCAATAAGAGTAGCAAATTTAAGTCTTAAATTTTTTTTTGAAGGTTCTTAAGGGGACTGTTTCTCGTGGACTATGGATTACTGTTATATTTGCAATAACGTGGCCAAAAGTTACATTTTATCTGTTTAAAGAGTATGAGGAGAAAAATACTACTAGATTCTATTACTAGTTCGTCGTCCCTAAGCCCAAACTTAATAAAATGGATAATTTTATAAAGTCGAGTTAAAATTGAATAAATAAACTTGAGTTATATAATCGCAATCGGTATCCATTTTAGAGTTTCAAGCAAATTGTAACCCCCTAATTTAGACATGCACGCGACAGTAGGTCAAATAAGAATCTACGTCATGCTATATTAGGACATATTATGACTGCTATGGATATAACAAAAAAAGTACTTAACTGATTCTTTGGACTGGGAATTGCTAGAATAGTAGAATTAGGAGAAGAGAGGATAAGATCCATAATCTCCAATTATTATTTGATTAAATAAAGGAAATTGTTATTAGCACTCCAAAAATCTCATTTGGCACTCTAAACTTTCTATAATTAGAAAGAAAAAAAATACACTTGTGAGGAGTGTAGAATGAAATTTTTGGAATGCTAATAACAATTCCCTAAATAAAATCAAAATACAAGATTAGCCAATTAATTTCGGAAGCAGTTTTACTTCCCATCATAACTATGGTGTATTCCCACTATACACATTATCATATGTCACGTGTCTTTTTACTCAACCCAGTTAACTTTTCTATAAATGTTCATTCTTCAGGTAAAAGCACACGTAACAGATAATGAGGTGTATAAAATCTTGGGTTTAAGTTACAACACACATTCCCTCGCCGATGAACCATCATTGATTCATTGCGTCTCTTTACAAGTAATACATTCATAGAGGAATATGATTTTCTTAAATACAACTTACTAGTGATTTACACCATCACACATCCATAATATGCGCTATAAAATATCAGCGGTCACAAAATTTATGCGGGGGCAATTTCTAACCGTGAGTCCGAGAACAATGTTAACACTAGATAGACAGAGTAATACTCGCACAATCCCATTAACCATTACAACCCCATTAACCATTACAACCAAAGTAACACAAGTGCCTATTACAACGGACGAACACGCATACCATACTAATACGGAAACTGGATTATCTTATTCATATGAGATGGACTCTCTATCCACATCTTTAGTACTCACTTCATTGCAACTACTCTTGCTTACTGCTGCAGTTCCTTCAGGAAATCCTCGTTGTCAACCAGGACCTACAAGCACAACGTCAAGAACCAAAGTAATGAGCTCAACCGTTAATGATGCATCGCCTCTAAATTGTTAGATGTATTAGATGCAATATAAGCACACACGCAGAGCATGCAGACATTTTCACATGTGGAAAAAGTCAAACAGACGCTGGACCTTCAATCTTTCAGCTGTAGATTAGTTACATGCCACTCCTTGTCCTTGCCCGCGATAAAATTAACTAAATTGACATTATAACTATTGTTTATATAATTAACCACTCCGAAATAACAGGGGATGAAGCATAGTAATCACGTTCTATTTTATCTTTGCGCTTCAATGTTCCAACGTCATACGAAATGTAAAAATAAAACAATGATAAAGTTGAGCAACAACTAAACAAGCGAACACTCACAGTTTTCCAACCATCGGGATCGAGAAAAGAGGTGATCTTGGTGTTGAGTCCAGGAATCGGTCCAGGCTGTCTGGTTATCTTTCCTCCAAGCTCTTGTGTAACCAAATTGACAGCCTCAGCACTTTTGTAGACATCATCAGTACTGATAGCAATCCGGTATATGTAGCCACAAACGTATCAGGACAGCAGAAGTTGTTTGAGAATTAAACGTTTTTAAAAGGACAAAATATGGAATAAGTTGCAAAACAAGTCAACCTGTGCATACGCATTTCCTTTGGTGTATTCGGTCACACCATAGTTATAGGTCAACTCCAAGATTGTTGTATGGTCTTCTTCTTTATATCCCAAAATGGCTATAGTGTACTGTAAAATGGATGCAATGCGAAAACACGGGAAGATTCAGTAAGCCTTTGTTTACAAAGATGATGGACCAAGGACTTAATTATAAGCATGCTACTAAGATAATAATAATGCTTGGTGAAGAGAGGATTCACTACCTTGTATTCGGGCCTGTCAATTGTCCTCAACAGCTTCAACCGTAATGCCTGCACAGAAGGAAAGCCATGACATCAGACAAAATTAAGAAACATGATCACGTATTTGAAGAATACAAATACTAAGTTCCAAACCATCTTATATAATTCAAAGACGACTAGTTCAAGAATTCAACAGCAACCTAGTATTTGTCTAATCTAATGTACTGAAACTGCCACATGAAAAGTGGCTTGCAAAATCCCAAGATGAAAAGGCCTGATAATTTTTGAATCCATATGCAGGGTATTAAATGAGTACCTTCTCATAGAACTTGACTGAGCGTTCAGGATCACCAACACGGAGCATTACATGGCAAAGTGGCTCAGGAGTGGAGGGTCGCTGAATAATCTCAAACATGTAACCATCAGGATCCTTCACGAAGGCAATGATGCTCTTCCCGCCTTTAACAGGTCCAGGCTCCCTCGTCACAGTTCCACCCTTAGCACGAACATCTTCAACCAGTTTTTGAACCTACAAAATCCCAAATTCCATACAATCATCAAACTGAGAAACAAGAACAAAATCCTGAATTTCCAAATTCCCAATAATCGATACTCTTGAGAAGAACTTAAAACACTGGAATGGTATTCTAAGCCAATTATGCACTTCTATAAAGTTAAATTGCATGGCACTAACGATTGGCTTGGGATACCGTCACATTATCATTTAAGCAAGTTTCTCTGCCCTACAGACTTATCAGGAGTAGCAAAGGTGAAATGTCCAAAATCCCAATTCCATACAATCATCAAAATTCAGAAACAACAACAAATCCAAAACTTCCGGATGATACAGTGACGGTTTCTCATGTCCATCATACAGATGCCACAAAGCCAAAAAAGCACGTCGCATTTGATTTACTCGAGGTAACGTCACATTGTCACTCCATACATGTCAAGTAAATCATACTGTCATTCCAGATATAAGTATCTCAAATTCTGCCATTCGAACACTTACATCGGGAGTAGCGATGGCGAAGTGCCCGAAACCGGTGCCGATATCATAAGAAGAAACTCCATAATTGTAGGTCAATTCAACCACAAAGTGAGAGCCTTCGGGCCCAAACCCCAGAAACGCATTCGAGTATTTCTCCTCCGGATGTCCCTCTTCCTCAACAGCTTCATCCCCAAAGCCTCCGTATAAAACCTGCAATTATTTTATTTTCCCAAAAATAAAAAATTAAATTTGAAATCGATCGCCAAAAAAAATGAAAAACTGAAATCATGGAAATTGAATCGATCATCGTTTATGATCGTTGAAAATTAACGTACTTGATGGTGCGATCGAGGTCGCCGACGCGGTACACAGCGTGGAGGAACCGGCGCTTGTCCTTCTTCGGCCATTCCAAAACGTCGGCGTTTGGAGCGACGGATTTTCCCTCAGCTTCGGCCATTTTCGAGCGTTCTAGTGTTCTGAATCTTGTGATCAGTGGGCTACCTTATTTAATATTATCTTGAATTCAAATTCGCACGTGGACCAATCAGAGATGGTTACATATGGAATCACAGTGATCTGCCGACTTAGGCCATCTCCAACTGACCTGGCTAAATGATCATGGGGTTAAAAATAACTTGGAATGACATGAAAATCGTCTCCAACCAATGACTAGGTTAAAGGGCTTATGGATCCCACTGAGCCCAAACCCCCAAATCAGGCTAGTGGGATGACCATTTCCAGCAAGCCAACTAGCCCTTTAGCGCTAGAATGTCAAGCTTGACATTTTGCCACCCCTCCAGTCCAGCCCATTTGAATGTCAACGGCTACCTAGCATCAGCATGACGTCAGTTAGCAACGATTAGCTAACGTCATGCTGTCGTCAGGTTACCTTTTGGAATTTGAATTTTATTTTGGACGAATTTAAATAATAATAATAATAATTTTCTTCCTATAAATACCTATACCATTCCTACAACATTGAAAGTTGAAGATAAAATGTGTCACGTAGATAAGAATTATATCTAAAATTTGCACAACCAATTATATCTCGACACATGACACTCAAAATATTATCCGAAAAATTATTAAGATTACATAGAGATAAGAAATCTGGAGAGTTACTCATTTTAGTGACACGTGACACTCAAAATCCTATCTGAAAAAAGTATTGAGATTACATAAAGATAAAAAATCTGGAGAGTTACTCACGTTAGCGATACGTGTTACTCGAAATCTTATCCAAAAAATTATTAAGATTATATAAAGATAAGAAATCCGAATGCTCATTCATTTGGCCTAATGCTTTTTTGTTTTTTTTTTAATACTAAATTGTATATGATTTATTGTCTTGCAATGACTGCAATCATAAAGAGAGAAAATCATTTACTATTCCAAATAGAATCCACGAGTGATTTATACAAGCACACATGTGCTATAATTAACATCACTACAAAAATGACTATTTAAATCCATAATGCAATGAACTAAAGAGAAATACAATATGAATTAGGACAATTCACTACTCACTCAATTATTTTCTCACGTAAAAGTGTACAATTAACTCATGAGATTGCAAAAGAACTACATTTTTGGGTTTAAATCAATGAAATGATTTATTCATTTAACATTGACATTGTGTTTGCATGGCATAAAATGTCATTGAAAATGAAGTGTATTGTGTATAGTAAATATCAAATGGACCACATTTTTGCACCTTTTAAGATGATCAAGATGGAGGGGGAGCACGCACATAAAAAGTAGTGGTTAGCAATGAGCCTCTTTTTGGAGATTTTTGTCACAAATATGGCCAGGCCTCGAATCTTTTCTCCACATGTGTGCCAAGTACTCGAAGTTGCAGCTTCAGAAATTGCCAAAGCAATTATAACGTGATAAACCACCCCAGGCATATATAACAGGTGTCTGATTGTGTAAATTTTAATTAGTAACGATTATGTAGGATTCCTTTGTATATAGAAAATTATTTTTTCTTGCAACTTCAATTACTTGGAGAGCAAGTGATTCTCTCAGCCATGTTTCCGGTGGTGCCGAGAAACAGCGCCAAAAACGTTGATGGACGTACCTATGAGTATCCTCGTCGACATCATTATGAGGTTGCATCCGGCAATCGAATCATTCTGTCAGTTCCGGTGTGTTTCAAGACCACCTTAAATTTCATCGATTCCCCATTCTTTGCTCAACTGCATACTTGACGTTTGCTTAATTCTGCTGCCTCTTGTGCTGCCACTGTCCAAGTACCTCGACTTATTCTTCTTGCTGAGTTTGCGGCTCCTAACCCGCAATCGGCAAATAAGCTTCCATTCAAATACCCTACTGGCACTGGTGCTATTGCATTTAAACACGCGCTTCCTAACTGGAAGATTTTCTGCGGGGGCTGTTGGCATGATGTATAGTTTGTTTTCTGCAACTTGATTGGCTTTAACGCCAGCAGATTAACAAGTTCATGCTACTTGTTTGATGCTTTTAGGGGTGAAGTTCTACAGCTCCCATTGCTCCCATTGACGTGGAGGAACCGCGCGCTCACCCTTCAACCCTACAGGTTTTCATGGTACGGCATGGGATTTGACAATATATCTTGCACATACAAGATTGTAATAAGAATGTATCAAACATATGGAGTCATGCATTGTATGTATCAACAGGTTTACGTGGTACGCTGCAGTCCCGCCTTCTCTTTCATCCATTTTGTTAACAACACAACTAGATTTAAGGGCTGTTCGGTGGCCTCATTTTGGACTCCATTTCCATTTTGCGATTCAAAAGCGCCGTAAATGCAGCCAATCACACCACATGAGTCCGTCGTTAGTTTGGATTCCTTGCTTTCTGTATATGTGGCGTGACGAACATGTATTATGCTGTATTCCAATTGTAGGGAGGATCATCTTTTGTAACAGATCCAAGACTTTCAACTTCTGCGAAGACTCTTAAATCAAGCGAGACTACGCGAAGGAAGATGCCCTAAAAGCATGTCGAACAACCTTATTACACGTTAATCTGTATTCCGAATTCCTCATACAAATTCACCTTTCAACAATTCCATGTCGAATTGAAGGAAATTTTGCTTTAACTTTTCTGGGCAGAATCTTGGGGTGAAAACAAAATAAGAGAAGCAAACACAAACTGTTCACTAGATTATCATCATCTAATCTTTGTCATGATAACTACAAAATGCTCGATCACAACTTTGTCATCCATTGCCGAATAAACTTTATCATCATCCATACTTTGAAATGTAAGTTGTTGAATTCAGTGACCTTAATCTGCCAGTGTTCTGCAAAAAAATTGTAAGACAAAAACAAACTGCATTACTAACAACATCCAACAAGAAAGAACAGGAAAAGTACCAAGTAAAAGAATAGGCAAACTTCTTTTGGTCCACGAGAACAGGCCAATACTACTGAATTAGAACATTAGGCGTACTTGAATGAAAGAAGTATTGCTATAACTTTTCCATAACTACGTTTACTCACAGTGACTAGGTGTCCACGAAAACACACCATTGCGAGAAATTTCCTTCCTTGTAGAAGTTCACCATTCCGGGCTTCAGACGAGCAATTCCTGAGAAAACAAAATCTTCATTCCATATGTCCAGCATAACAGTAATGATCCCAATAAGCACCAATGCCCTGTCCAAATAACATCATTTCACGGGTCGCGGATTTTCGGCGGCAGCTGCGGAGGTCGTTCCGGCAGAGACGTTCTGCTGGGTGTTGTGCTGCTGCTGTGGGTTAAGGACATGGACCACCGCCTCCACCATCTCTAGAAAAAATACAGAATATAAGAAAGTATGTAACGTGTACTGAGACAGATTTTAGGAAATTATAAAAAATGACTCATTTTCTTTATCTTATAACTGAAATAGGTTAAACCCAATATGTACAGAGCATGCACAACAATAGGACATAAATACGATTCTCCTAAAATTTACATTTACCAAATTGCTCTCCCATGTTTTATGTAATAAAAGAGTTGGCAATGCCGAGCCTTTGAGATTTACATAAAATAGTTATGTGCAAGTATACATACGAAAACTTTCTTAACAAGTGTCAAAGGTAAAACAAAAATTTACTAGTCTTTATCTTGGTGTTGCTAGGATGTCCCTACATCTTTGGTGCAAAATAAACCCACCTAGTTTTTATCAATTCCTATTTTAATTCTCTGCATATTTACTTATAAATCTAGTGAGTGTGACTGTAATTTCTCAGAGTATTAGTTTTTGTTATTCGCATATTTACTTTATGAATTTTTCTTCTTCGTTCTATATAATTCTATAGGTTTCTCATTTGTAATCGATCACTTCAGTCACTGACGTTTTCTCAGATTTTAATTGATTTGATGTTAATTGTTTGATTGAAATATAGATGGCTTTAGCCCAACCTGTAGTCAAACCTCAACCCCAACCTTCATCCCAACCCCAATTCTAACTTCACTGTGTCCTTGATAGTCTCAAATCTGTCGATGCCTGTCACGGTAAATTGACGGAAGTAAAGGAGGCCGGAGGATTGGACAATCTGGAGATCATACAAATTAGCCAAGCTCTAACAGGATTCGAGTCCGGACGATCAGGCCTCCTTTGTCTCTTGAGGAGAAAGGCTTCTGACAAACTGAAGAGTAGGGGATGAAGATATCGAGGACACAACGTCAAGAGACAAGGAAGGTCCTTATCTTCCTCCCCTACTCTTCAGTTCGTCAGAAGCTTTGTCTCTTGCTTTTCTCTTCAAGAGACAAAGGAGGCCTGATCGTCCGGACTTGAATCCTGTTAGAGCTTGGTTAATTTGTATGGTCTCCAAACTGTCCAATCCTTCGGCTTACTTTACTTCCTTCAATTTTCCATGACATGTGTCGACAGATTTAAGGCTATCGAGGCACGACGAAGTTGGAATTGGGGTTGGCATGAAGGTTGGGGTTGAGGTTGGAATACGGGTTGGGCTGAAGCCATCTATATTTCAAACAATTAACATGAGATCAAATTAAAATCTGAGAAAACGTCAGTGAGCGAAGTGATCGATTACGAACGTGAAACCTTTGGAATTATGTAGAACGAAGAAGAAAAATTCATAAAGTAAATATGCGAAGAACATAAACTAATAATATGAGAAATTACAGTCACATTCACTAGATTTATAAGTAAATATGTAGAGAAGAAAAATAGGAATTGATTTCAACACGAAGAGCATCACGTACCTCTTCTTGGCGAGCTACAATGTGAGGAGGAGAAGAAATTTGATAGCCTGCACCATATATACACCACCAACACTTTTGAACATTTTTTTTCTGTTAATACAAAATAAAAATGCCAGCTTTTAATCCTAGAGAGAGAAAGAAGAGAGGTAGAGGAATATTTATTACTAATAGCCAAAATCTAATACCTAACTTCATAAATGTCATTTTTTACAAAATCTTTTAAATAAAGCAGAAAAATTACTTAAATAGACCTAAATACCCTCAAAATTAAAATCAACTAACAAACCTGTTGGATCAGAATTTTGGAAAAATGAGAGGCCACTACATTTTGTCGGCATAGTGTTCGCAGTCAATATCAATGAAATCAAGGATCTTAGTATAACTGAAATCTTGAAGATGACCGACAATTTCAATCAAGCAAACATCATTGTGTGGATTCAATAAATTAAAAATGAATCCATATATAAACGAAAAGAACAATTTTGTATATAAAGAAAATAGAATGTGAAATCATAACCTAATTGACCGTACCGAATTGATCGGACCAATATTATATAGTATACCTAATCGATCGTACCAAATGAATTCATTTGTATGTGAAAATAAACTAACTTAAAATAGGTGCAATTTTATGGAAATAGGTCCAATTTTATGAATTAAGCTGATGATCTAAATTAAACAGAAGTTGAAAGGAAATTAGTGAAAGGGAACAAACCTTGATCCATTTGCCTTGTAACAGAGACATGGCTGAAGAACTCTCAGTCACTGTGGAAACGCAGTTGCCGAAGTATCAGTCTTCGCCTTGCTCTGCAAAAATCCCCGAATTATTTAAGATTTCTTCTAAAAAAAAAAATCCAAAATTCGACAAAAAAAAGTAACGGTGCAGGCGACCTCAGCGAAGTCCGAGTCGGCGCCGTGGGCTCCCGGGAGCTAGGTACCGGCAAAAGTGTCGGTGTCTTCGAAGTCGGCGAAGTCGAAGTAGACGTCGACGACGTACTCCAGCTCGTCGTTCTGAAACTGCGCCCACGCCATGTTCGACAGCGGAAAAACTCGGGGATTAACTGAAATTCACAATGGCCATTAAATCGAAACCGAAAGTGGGAGAAGTGGCGAAGGAATATACCTGGAATTTGTTTCGGGGGGCCGGAATTCAGCTGGCGGGTTGAGAAAAACAGAATGTGTAGAATTTTCCCAAGAAACGAACAGAAAAAGCGAGCGCCTTTTTTAGGTGGGTGAAAGAAAACGCTCACCCACGGTGCTCAACTTATAGACTTTGGCGACAGGAAAAGAGATTACTGAAAGTGACAGCCAGTAGATTATTTTTCGGCATGAATGGAGGGCATGGTTTCTCAGAGAGTTCAGCGAGCTCATATTTTTTAATTCTCAGAGAGAGAAAACTGTCTGCCTTTTGCAGAAGTCGAAGTGTGTTTTGTCGAGGTTTTGAGTTGTAGGTAGATCAAACGAAGGGAGATGAGAGAGAGAGGCGGAGCGGCTAGGGTTTGAGTATGGAAGAGATGAAAAATGGAGAGTGCAGATTCAATGGTAATAATAAAAAAAATAGGGTAAAGTACAAAAAACTATCTCAATTATTAGGATCACGATAGTTTCATATCTCATTTTTTAAAATTGACAATGTCATACTGTAACTTACAAATTTGTCACAATATCATACCTCCGTCAATTTTTCTGTTAGTTTTTCTGTTAAATCCTGACGTGGCAAGAGATAGGGACCACTCACTAATCCAGTTGGATTAAAAATAAATTAAAATATTTTTAATAATTAAATATTAAAAAAAATTAAGAATAAAAAAACAAAACAAAAAAATTTCCTAAAGGTGCGGGGACTCTTTTCCCTCTCATTCTTCTTCTCCTTCTTCTTCCTTCTTCTGGTTTTTTTTTTTTTTTTTCCTCCTCCTCTTCTTCCTCCTTCTCCTGGGGGGTGGAGGGGAGGGGAGGGGGTTTTCAAATTTTTTTTTTTTTTTTTTTTTACCTCCTCCTCTTCTTCTTCTTCTTCTTCTTCGGTTCTTCCTCCTTCTCCTAGGGGGCGGGTGGGGTTGGGTTTTCAAATTTTCTTTTTCTTTTTTTCCTCCTCCTCTTCTTCCTCCTTCTTCTCCTTCGATTCTTTCTCCTTCTCCTGGGGGGTGGGTGGGGTTGGGATTTCAATTTTTTATTTTTTTTTGTGTGTTAAAGATTAAGCAGAAGAAGATGAAGATGGGGAAGACAAAGAAGAGGAGGGAAGGGACGACTAAGGTTTTTTTTTTTTTTTTTTTTTTTTTTTTACATTTTTTTTTTTAGTTTTTAATAATATTTTATTAATTTTTTAATAGAAAGTGGTCCCAGTCTCTTGCCATGTCAGCATTTAACAGAAAAATTGACGGAGGTATGACATTGTCACAAATTCGTAAGATGCGGTATGACATTGTCAATTTTAAAAGATGAAGTATGAAATTGTCGTGACCCCAATAGTTGAGGTAGTTTTTTGTACTTTACCCAAAAAAATAAAAGTAAATTTACAAACTACCTAATATTATTTTATGCATTCTTTTTTGCTTCTTTTGATTTTTTTTTCGCTGAGGGGCGTTTTGGTTATATTCTTTTTCGTCGAAGTCGTGAGCCCAAATGTAGTATTCATTACAGGCTTTGGCTTTATATATAAGAGATGATTATGTATCTCATCGAATGTGGATGTACACATTAATCTGAGAATTTATGTATTCAACTCTCGAAATTACTGTAACGGTATTAATATATAGAAAGTAGAATTATCTCACATTTTCCTTTTGAACTATTGGGCCAAAAGTTCATTTGTTCAAATTTTTATAGCAATTGGTGATTGGCGCGTGGTTCTAAGAGCCCATAAGTTTGGGGCTGCCTTGCACCTAATTGGACCATCCTAATTGGTTATTGGCGCGTGGTCATATAGCTTGATTCAATTTGTATAAATTTTATTTTTAATTTATTTTGAAAAGTGTTATTGACATTTTAAAATTTTCATTCTATACTCTTTATAAGTGTATTTTTCTTTTTAAATATAGAAAATTTGAAATGTAAAATAAGAATTTTGAAATGCTAATAACGATTCTTTTTATTTTATATTTTACTTTATTTTTCTGTTCAACAAGGTCAACAATCTTTCTTCGTTGCATGCAGACTCGATGGCAAGATAATACTTATAATTGACCCAAGCTTCAATATTTGACACCACCAATCTTTCATCAAAAATAAAAAACAGAAAGATCTACAATTATTCTGAAACATGCATTCCATGCAAACAGACAACACCTGAACCATTTCTTCCACAGTACTGCATTCCCATCACCATCAACTGTCTCTGCTTCGTTTCCTTCTTTTGAAGCTAATTTCCCTCAAATTCCTTCCGTTTCACCCTGAATTTCCACACAAAAAAACCAAAGAATTAACACGAGCTACAATAACAACACTAACACATTCAACAACCATGAGAATAAGCGAGTCTTACATCCCATCTTCTGCCAACAAGCCATTGGTTGGGATTAAGCCTGGACATTGCTGAAAAAACAAAATCTTCAAGCCAAAGGTCCAAAATCCATGTGAATATCGTCAGAATCACATTTCCCCTGTCCAAAGTCCTCGAAGTTGCAGCTTCAGAAATTGCCAAAGCAATTATAACGTGATAAACCACCCCCGGCATATATAACAGGTGTTTGATTGTGTAAATTTTAATTAGTAACGATTATGTAGGATTCCTTTGTATATAGAAAATTATTTTTTCGTGCAACTTCAATTACTTGGAGAGCAAGTGATTCTCTCAGCCATGTTTCCGGTGGTGCCGAGAAACAGAGCCAAAAACGTTGATGGACCTGCCTATGAGTATCCTCGTCGACATCATTATGAGTTTGCATCCGGCAATTGAATCACTCTGTCAGTTCCGGTGTGTTTCAAGACCACCTTAAATTTCATTGATTCCCCATTCTTTGCTCAACTGCATACTTGACGTTTGCTTAATTCTGCTGCCTCTTGTGCTGCCACTGTCCAAGTACCTCGACTTATTCTTCTTGCTGAGTTTGCGGCTCCTAACCCGCAATCGGCAAATAAGCTTCCATTCAAATACCCTACTGGCACTGGTGCGGTTGCATTTAAACACGCGCTTCCTAACTGGAAGATTTTCTGCGGGGGCTGTTGGCGTGATGTATAGTTTGTTTTCTGCAACTTGATTGGCTTTAAAGCCAGCAGATTAACAAGTTCATGCTACTTGTTTGATGCTTTTAGGGGTGAAGTTCTACAGCTCCCATTGCTCCCATTGACGTGGAGGAACCGCGCGCTCACCCTTCAACACGCCTTACAGGTTTTCATGGTACGGCATGGGATTTGAAAATATATCTTGCACTTACAAGATTGTAATAAGAATGTATCAAACATATGGAGTCATGTATGTATCAACAGGTTTACGTGGTACGCTGCAGCCCCACCTTCTCTTTCCTCCATTTTGTTAACAACACAACAAGATTTCAAATGAAAGACCTAGGTCTTCAAACATTTTTTGCGGACATTTTCGCTTGCAGGCCCTTGCTCAATGTGAGATGACACGAAGCAGTTTGGGTATCGTCAGAATCAATGCCGATGACACTGCTCTGGCTGCACAGGTTATCAATATATCTTCAGTATTGTTAACTGTGATAGGCATTAAGGGTGTTTTTATGCTAAGGGTTAGGAAATTTTGTACAGATGGTGGCCTCAACTGGCCTACGGAATACTGGTGCTGTTGCAAGTGCTCGCGCTGCAAAAATTTATGGGCTTGAAATTCTTGCAGAAAAAATTCAAGTAAGGCTATTCTTTTAGATTCCTTTTTCAGGTTTAATGTATAAGTTAACATCAGTTGGGTATTGATATGGTACACATCTGGATGGATTGAGAATTGACCTCTTCTCCTTTCTTAAGAAAGCAGAAGTTGCAAATTCACTGTTGTCTCAGCATGCTTGTTAGTTCGGTGGGGTGTTTGCAAGTTATTCTTTCCAAGCATTACAGAGTTCTACATGTCACATTTTCTTGCTTTGAGTATTGCATTTCTTTTACAATATGATACTGCAAAGATGCATCACTCTCTCAGATGTTGGATGTTTTAACTTATTTTGCACCTCTTTTTATTTCGTGAAGACGATGGCTGCTGGGGATTACTAATGACACCGCTTGATTAATTTACTAATACTTTGCCCTGGCCAGGATGATGACAATAATATCACTCGCTTTTTGATACTTGCAAGAGAATCGATAATTCCAGGGACTGACCGGCCATATAAGGTGTAAACCTTTGCTTTGTTTTGTTTTTTTATTTTATGTATCTTTGCTTTCCTTTACTCTTCTGAATATTTATTTATAAATTTTCTTCATAGACGAGCGTTGTTTTCACTCTTGAAGAAGGTCCTGGTGTACTATTTAAAGCCTTAGCAGTATTTGCTCTTAGGGGCATTAACTTGACAAAGGTAACGTTAGGTAATCATTTTTTGTTTTCTTTCATGCTCACTCACTGTGTATAGCTTTTTGACAATTCTTTGGAGCAATTTCAGATAGAGAGTCGCCCACAGAAGCAACGTCCACTAAGGGTTGTGGATGATTCAAATGAAGGGAGTGCCAAGTGAGTGGTACTAAGTTTAGAACATGATCAGTTTTACATATCCGCACCAGTATATACAGAACAGACAGGTCATGATATGACTCTTAATATGGGAAAGGTCGCTACAAAAATGACATTCTACAGATTGATTGATCGATCTGTTTTGGCAGGTATTTCGACTACCTCTTTTACATTGACTTTGAGGCTTCTATGGCAGAGCCCCGTGCCCAATATGCTTTGGGACATCTGCAGGTCGGTCTTGTATCATTTAGATGCATGTTCTTTATTTTCTCAACTTTCAAAAACTTTTATTTTGTGCCGGAGGTTTTGCCACATGGTGACACACTTAAGCTTGAAATTACAATGTCTTCCTCTGAAACCTCTCCACCCCTCAGTATAAAGCATTGGTGATTTAAGGGTGAATTGCTTTCTTTTGCAGGAATTTGCAACATTTCTTCGTGTCCTTGGTAGCTACCCAATGGACACGATTCCATAGAAGGCAGTCGTTTCTTGGGCTCAATTTCGTAATGGTTTTGGTTTCCAGACATGCAAACACAGTTCAACCTTCAATGTTGTATATATGTGGGCGCTGAAGCTGCATACACAGATCAAGCTTCAAATGAGGAGACAATTCCTTGCAAAGCTTCATTTTTCTTTCCTTTTCGACTCTATATCATTCTTTATTTCCTCTGAACGGGGGTTTTTACTGTTTCAGGACTGTCTTGATATCTTGATACAACACCGGGAGGGTCCCTCCCGACTACCCAAAGTACAATCTGTAAACAACACCGCAGGATTCATGAAAGACAGAGATTTGTGTGTAACTTACGACTAAAGACACAACACCGCAGGATTCATGAAAGACAGAGATTTGTGTGTAACTTACGACTAAAGACAGTTTGTGATGCTCTCTGCTTTGTGTCTATCATCATTTTACACTTGGTTCTTACGTGTTCGCCCTGCAATCTCGTCCTCGGGATTATAGAGTAGAAAATCCGTTCAGAAAATATGAACTCTGAAGCTCTATAAATTCGATAAGACGAGAAATATCGTAATGGTGGCGAGGTTGCAAATCCGTGACCAACTGAAAACAGTAATGAGTAGACTAAGCGAGAGACTGCTGAGAGAACTGTTGGGAAAGACGCTCCCACATTTCATGAGAAGTGGACTGCCCAACTATCAGAGAAATGATTGGTTCAGTGAAAGCAGCACAAAGCATGCTAATAAGTGTCCGATCTGTCTGATGCCAGACCAGGTAAGTCCGTTAGGGGACGAGGTCACCACCGGAGGGACAACTTCAGAGGCATCACATCAGCAGAGCCGGTAAGGGCTGCCGCATGTAAGAATTCCTACCACTAGATGGTGAAGGTCAAGTAACATTCATAATATGTGATAAAATATCAGTGATCACAAAATTCGCGCGGGCGCAATTTCTAACCATGAGTCCAATAACAACGTTAAACTAGACAAATAGAGTAATAGCCGCGAAATCCCATTAAACATTACAACCAAAGTAAGCCTATTACAAGAGACGAACAAGCATATCATACTAATACGGAAACTGGATCATCTTATTCGTGGGAGATGGAGTCTCTATCCACGTCTGTACTACTCTCACTTCATTGCAACTACTCTTGCTTACGGCTGCAGTTCCTTCAAGAAATCTTCGTTGTCAACCAGGACCTACAAGCACAATGTCAAAAACCGAAGTAATGAGCTCAGTGGCTAGTGCTGCAACGTGCAAACATTTTCACAAGTGGAAAAAGTTAAACCGGCGCTCGGGCCTTCAATCTTTCAACTATAGATTAGTTACGTCGTACATGCCACTCCTTGTCCTTGTCCCCGATAAAATCAACTAAATTGAGATTATAATGGGATGAAGCATATTAACACGTTCCATTTTTTCTTTGCACTTCAATGTTCCAATATCAGACGAAATGTAACAATAAAACAATGATGCATATGATAAAAGATCAAACACCTAAATAGAAAGTTGAGTGACAAGTAAAAAAGTGAAAACTCATTGTTTTCCAGCCATCGGGATTAGGGATGGGCAACAGTTATGACGGGCGGGTAACTGCGGTTATTTACCTATAACTATTTATGTTCATACTCTCATAACCGTTTATCTGTTGAGTAATTGCATAAACTGTTATACCCATACCCATAACCGTGTACCCATTTAACCATAACCGTTTACCCATTTAACCATAACCATTTACCTGTTTTTGAACCCGTTTATCATTTTTTTTACCCATTTACCCATTTTTCACCCGTCTACATTTTTTTTTAACAACTTAAAAATTACAAAAAAAATTTTGTCATAATTTTCATTTTCTGACAATTAAACACCGTTATAGGTATAATTTAGCATGCATTTCCCATTTTTAATCATTTAAGTCCTCATACAATTTCAATAATTAAAATAATAGTTTACGAACGATATTTTTCTGCTACACCCAAGTAAGTCTTTAATTATAATAGTGAAGAAGGAGATATGTCCCCGTTTCTAAACATAGTTTTATGCAATAAGTAATTGATCCTAATCCCCCAATATATACACGTACACAGAATCCCTCCCTTACTAACCAAAAAATTGAAACCCTAATTTGCATCTTTCGTTCCCTGAAGATCGAATTTTACGTAGAACTGTAGAACCCAGAAACGTACCTAAACTCATAAATTTATGCAGAACCCTAGCTATTTGTATCTTCAACAGATGCAAACATAAGATTAGAAGAAAAACATATAAGAACTAAAGCCAACACAAAAGAAACGTACCTGAGGTCATAATTATCTTTTTCCATGAGAGAAAGATTGAAGGTTGGAGGGCCGGTAATCACTTTGGAGGAGCTAATTATATCAAGAATATTTATATACACAACTTCTCGCATGTCAATGTTTGTAAAAGATTAATTAGAGAAATTTGTTAATTTAATAGATGAGCGGCGGAGATGAGAGAGAGGGCAGTGAGGAGGGAGAGATGAGTGGGGACGGGACGTTTGAGACTCTGAGTTTGACGGAGAAATTGAAAATTTAGGGTTTTTACATTTTTTTTTAATTTTACATATATTAAATTAAATAGGTAAATGGATACCTGTTATAACCGCCGGTAATACAAATAACCGATGGATATCTATTATAACCTTGGATAATACCCATAATCATTTATTTAAATTTCACAGATAAACGATTATACCCATAACCGTAACCGTGAACTTTAAATAAATGAGTAACTGCAATTATCCAAACTTATAGCTATTTTGCTCATCTCTAATCGGGATCGAGAAAAGAGGTGATCTTGGTGTTGAGTCCAGGAAAGTAAATGACTCCTATACTAACAAGGGAATACAGCCATATAATTATATTTATATTTAAATTCCTATTCGAACAGGACTCAAAGTCAACAAAGGGCTCAGAGGATCAAAGATTCCCTTGTTCCCTGTGCCATATAGCATTATACACAAAATTAGGGAATAGTTCAATCAATCGTTTCCCATCCGATTAGCAAAAGGAAAGAGGAAAGTTAACCCTAACCCTAACAAAAAAAAAGCCTAACCTAGCACAATGTATATACATATATATTAAGCACGTACCACAAATTCACACTCTTGCTCTTTGAACAAATCAAATCGATAATATTCTTGCTGCAAATATTAAAGCCATGTTTACGGTCGGGCCGCCGCCAAAGAAGAAGATGTGTTTTAATAAGAGAAACACAGAGCCACAAACGTTGATGGACCTGCCTATGGATATCCTCGTCGACATCCTTATGAGGCTGCAGCCGGCAATTGAATCACTCAGCCAGTTCCGGTGTGTTTCCAAGACCGCATTAAATTTCATTGATTCCCCGTTCTTTGCTCAACTGCATACTTCACGTTTGCTTAATTCTGCTGCCTCTGGTGCTGCCATTGTCCAATTACCCCAACAAATTCTTCTTGCTGAGTTTGGGACTCGTGACGTCGTAAAACGCCAAATAGGCTTGCACCCAATCAAATACACTACTGGCGCTGGTCACGACAACGCTAGTGCGATTGTATTTAAACACGCTCGTCCTGACTGGAAGATTTTCTGCGGCGGCTGTCCGTACGATGTACATTTTGTTTTCTGTAACTTGATTGGCTTTAAAGCCAGAAAATTAACAAGTTCATGCTTCTTGTTTGATGCTCTTAGGGGTGAAGTTCTACAGCTCCCGTTGATGTGGAGGAACCGCTCACCCTTCAACATGGGGTCCGACATTACGTTTACGTGGTACGGCATGGGATTTGACAATCTATCTTCCACGTACAAGATTGTTTGTGTTTCCACATGGTGTATACACGCGGATCTGGAGGCCCATGTTTATACGTTAGGTGCAAGTGCAACAACCTCATCATGGCGACAAATACACTCAGTTCCTCCTCGCGTTTTAAGTAATAAGAACGTATCTGCATATGGAGACATGCATTGGTTTATTGATCCATATCAACCACAAAGAAGTTGTAGTTACGATGCTGATTCTTGTATTATTTCTTTCGACTTCAAGAAGGAGGAATTCGTTTGGACACCTAATCCAAATTTACCTGGCTTCGTTAATAATTTCCGTGCCATGCATTTGCTTAACTTGAGAGGATCTTTAGCCATTGTGGATTTTTCTGATCATGATCGTTACAGCGGTCATGGAGGGGAAAGGTACGTTGACATATGGGTGTTAAAAGATTATTCGAAGAAAAAGAAAGAGTGGACGATGGATTACAAAATCGAGACCCCAATTATTGTGACAAGTTTGAAGTCGGCTATTGGTGAATGGGAGCATGGCATATTTTACACGTGCTTCCCCTTGCCTAATTGCTACTTTTTGGATCTAAGAAATAAATCCACGGAATGCATCCAATGGGAAGCATTATTCCGGAGCCTCTCTGGTTACAATTACAATTACTGGAGTGGGGAGAAGAAAACGAAGATGATCATGTACAGTTACACTAAAAGCCTGATTTCCTTACGAAATTATGGCAATTTGCTTGAAAGAGAAAAAGCGTGCAAGTGGGCAGTTTTTGAAGCAGCAAAAACAAATGCAACCAGATTTTTCGAAACAGCAAAAACAAGTCCGTGGGGAATTTTTGAAGCAGCAAAAACAAATGCTCGGGCATTTTCTGAAGCCACAAAAACAAGTATGTGGCACTTTGAAACTTTATGTTGAAAATTTATGGCGGAATGATTACCAACAAAAGAAAATTATGAAGTAAAAGGTAATAATCGCAATTGTTCACTCTTTTATTATGAAAAATTTGTTTAATTTGAAAGCTATTTGGTCATTCATATGTGTTGAACCATAAGTAAAAATGTGACTCTTGGATAATACCTTGGCATGCTTGCAGAAAACTTCTTTAGTCGTTGAGAGAGAGGGGCGGCGTGGGGTTGGGGGGGGGTGTTGAATTATAAGTCTCTAGCTGATTGAGTATTAGAAATAAGATGAGTTTAATGTGTGTATTCACTTGAGCATATTTGTCAAGTGTAAAATTACAAGTTGTAAGGCCATGAGAGCCATGTGGTGTGTGATCCATGTATTTAGTTAGATGAGTGACTAAGATTAAAAGTAGAGTTTTGTGTGGTCCTAAAGCTAAGGCCATCAGTTAATGTAAAGGAGTGTTAGTGCTCACTTTTTCATAGAAGTACAAATTATTCCTCTGCAATATTTTTGCAAGAGAGAACAAGAAAGAAAGTTTTTCGTTTCAGCTTCTTCCATCTCTGTTGTTTTCATTTTCTGTTAAGTTCTTCCTCTTCGTGTAAAACCCAGGAGAAATCGAGTTTCACTAACATGGCCTCAGAGCCTAGTTCGATCGTTTGAGATCTGGGCGTAAACTGTGAAGCATTTTGAGTTACACTTAAGCTCGTTCCGGCTCAAGCGAAGTTGCCGTGTTCGTCTTGTCTAAGCTAAGAGATGGCTGGGTCTGGAAGTTCTGAGGTGAGAACTCCGATCTTCTCCGGTGAGAACTACGAGTTCTGGAGGATTAAGATGATGACGATTTTCAAATCTCATGGGTTATGGAGATTGGTTGAAAAAGGGGTTACGATCTCAGAGTCAAAGAAGAAGAAGGCTGAAGGAAGCTCAGAGGGAGAAGAAGACGATGAGAAAATGGTTGCAGCATATATGCAAGATGCAAAGGCTCTAGGTATTATACAGAATGCGGTTTCTGATCAGATTTTTCCTAGGATTGCCAACGCCGACTCATCTAAGGTGGCATGGGATCTACTGTATGGAGAATATCATGGTGGTGATCAGGTTAGATCCGTGAAACTTCAGAATCTTAGAAGAGAATTTGAGTATGCTAGAATGCGAGATGATGAATCTCTGTCTAGTTATCTTACAAGATTGAATGATTTAATTAATCAGATGAGAACATTTGGTGAATCCCTTTCTAATGAGAGACTTGTGCAGAAGGTTCTGATTAGTCTAAGTAAACCTTATGATTCCATCTGTTTAGTTATAGAAAACACAAAGTGTCTAGAGTCTGTTGAGTTGCAAGAAGTTGTTGCGATTTTGAAGAGTCAAGAACAACGATTTGACTTGCATAATGTTGATACCACTGAGAAAGCTTTTGCATCATTCTCAGTAAGTTCAAAGGGGCAAAATAGAAGTGGAGTTCAACCTGGCTCATCAAAATTCCAGAAGAATTGGAATGCTAAGGGAAAGAAATGGGATTCGAAACCTCGTTTCCAACAGAAACCTTTCACTAGTCCTGCACCAAATACATATCAGTCACAGTCAATGAGTCAAGAGATTGTCAAACCACTGTGTAGAGTGTGTTCTAAGTATCATTTTGGTGAATGTCGATATAAGGGGAAACCTAAGTGTTATAATTGTGATAAGTTTGGTCATTGGGCTAGAGAATGCACTGTAGGGAAGATTGTGCAAAAGGCAAATTCTGCAAATCAGGTGGAAGTGTCAGGAAATCTGTTTTATGCTAATAGTGCAATTTCAGAAACAAATATCAATGGAAATTGGTATGTTGACAGTGGTTGTAGTAACCACATGACAGGGAATGCTGATCTCCTTGTTGACATAAATACAAATGTTGCTGGAAAGGTGCAAATGCCTACTGGTGTGTTAGTGAATGTGGCTGGAATGGGTTCTTTGCAGATTGACACTAATAGAGGTAAAAGGTATATCAGGGAAGTCATGCATCTGCCAGGTTTAAAGGAGAACTTATTGAGCGTTGGGCAAATGGATGAGCATGGATATTATCTAGTGTTTGGAGGAGGTTTGTGCAGCATATATGATGGACCTTCACTTGAAAATCTTATCATCAAGGTTAAGAAGAAGGAAAATCGATGCTATCCTCTTTCTCTGGTGAAAGATAATCAGTTGGTTTTGAAGGCTAGTTTGGAGCATTCTACTCAGTTTTGGCACAGAAGATTAGGCCACTTGAATTTCAGAGGGCTTCAGCAACTCAGTGAGAAGAATATGGTGCATGGTCTTCCATATCTAGAAGCAACCAAGGATGTATGTCAAGGATGTCAATTTGGAAAACAGCACAGAGAATGGTTTCCAAAGGATCAAGCCTGGAGAGCAAGCTGTCCTCTAGAACTTATACATGTTGATCTCTGTGGTCCTATGCAGAATGCATCATTGGCTGGAAACAAATTTTTCATGCTACTCATTGATGACTGTACAAGGATGATCTGGGTGTATTTTCTCAGATACAAATCTGATGCATTCAATTACTTCAAAAAATTCAAGTCAATGGTGGAGCTGCAGAGTGGTTTCAAAATTAAAAATCTAAGGAGTGACAGGGGTGGAGAGTTTTTATCTTCTGAGTTCACTAAATTCTGTGAAATTGAGGGCATTCAAAGGCAACTCACCATGGCTTATACTCCTCAACAGAATGGAGTAGTGGAGAGAAAAAATCGAACTGTGGTTGAAATGGCAAAGACTATGCTTCATGATAGAGGTATGCCATATGTTCTTTGGGCTGAAGCTGTACACACAGCTGTATATATTCTAAATAGGTG